ATTATTTATCAAAAAAAATGTCCATCAAATCTTATCTAACGGCACAAAGCCACGTCAAGATTCACAAGGCATGAAGCCATATCAAATGGCACAAAGCCGCGCTCCAAATTCAAGTGGCACAAAGTCACGTCAAGTTTCAAAGGGCACGAACCCGTATCAAATCCCAAATAGCACGAAGCCGAAGAAAAGTCTCAAATGACATGAAGCCGTATCAAATATCAAATGGCACAAAGCCGCAACAAGTCTCAAATCATGAAGCTATGTTATGCTCCAATGGCTCAAAGTCCTCGCTCGCACGAGTTAAAACTGCACAAGGCATCAAACACTCATTGCCCGCATAAGCTAAAACTGCACAAGGCATCAAACACTCATTGCCTGCATAAGCTAAAACTGCACAAGGCATCAAGTCCAAACAAATACCAAATATCATGAACTACTAGTGACTTGATCCCTCAACAAGGGTACGTAGGCAATCTAGGGCTCGAACTAGGTGTAGTTGCAATATCAAATAAACACCCAAATCCCCAAATTACGATTTATTCAAATTAGAACCAAAGGGTATTCCTTTCCCAAAAGAAGGGTTGTAATTAATAGGCGCGTAGCCTAGAATGGGTCGAACTCGAATTAATAAAAACCCTCTTTGATAAAATGAACGAGAGTGAAATTGTGTCAAGTGAATTATTTGTTTACACATTGTGTTAAATTTTTGCTCAACACTCATCATTATCCCAAGATATTATCTCCCATTACAATCAATTATGGATGACATACTTTGGACAATAGGATGGCACCTTGTGGGAGAATTTATCATATATGGCCAAAATTTAGTCTCTAATTTCACAAATGTTGGTTTCAAAAAAAAAAAAAACTATCAATTATAGCCAAAAACACATTTTGATAAGACTTAAATGCCCTAAAAATTAACTCCGAATTACAATATGCCCGAATTCTTTACATATTAGAGTCCATTTTTAATCTAACTTATCTAATACACATACAGAAGGACTAGCTACTTCTCATCGCAGAAAACTGACTTGGACTATCGAAAGGTGGACTTCACTAGGGAAGTCTCAACACCAAGAAAATATTTTATAACATTAAACAACATCAGTCAGCGTCTAAAATACTTCGTTCATGGAGGATGAAAAAATTAGGTTAGTAATCCCCCAACATGAAACGGGCACCTACTTTGACCAAATTAGGGTATACATTCGGTCGTAGGAATTGAATGGAGCTCTTTGGCTTACTTTCACTAGTGATTTCTTTTCATGTAGAAATTGTTAATGGATTTTCTTAATTTTCTTTTCCACCCCTGAATCAACTTTGTGAATGCAAATTTCTTCCTTCTTGATTTTGGACAAAATTGCACTTACAAAACAAATCACACCTTAGGTCAAGGCCAAAAGCCTCACGCGCCCACGATGAATGTGGGGGGCTTTGGCCGAAGAATCTCTGATGCCAAAGTTAGAATTTTGAGGGACAATTGTTTAGAGAATTTTATAGAATTTTTGCAAGAGAATTGAAAGTGAACTTTGAGGAGAATGATGAGGTTTAAATAGGAGAGTGGCCGGCCTCCTTGGGTGAGAGAGGACCGGCCACCTAGCTCCCTTTGTGGGCTAGGTTCTTGATTTGTGTTAAATTAGGAATTATCGAATAATTACCTAATCAATTAGCTAATTAATAGAATAATTACTTAATTGATTAGCTAATCAATATAATAAAAAAGGGAAGATTTGGGAGTTACCTTGTGGAGAAGATTGGATGAGGATGGATGAAATAGATTTTGAATTGTTACCTATTTTGGGCACTTTTGATTTGGTTGAGTGATGATTGCCCGTTGCTCGTGCGTAGGAATCCTAGTATGCCTCAAGGGTAGTTTTGTCATCTTTTACCCAAAAATCCATGTGTCACCTTGTGATTATTTTTGGCTTCACAAACTTCATGAAATTTAATTTCTGACAATCACTAGAATTCAGTGGTTCTATATGTGGTATCGACGGGTTAGATCAAACGGAGCTTTACTTTTTCGCTAAGATCACATAAAAGATTTTTCTGATTTGAAGTGCGCTTTTATAAATGGCAGAAATAAATTAATAGGTTGATAAGTCGCATACAACAAATGATTTTGGCAGTGAATCTAGAATTATTTATAAGCTTATGAAATTTCCATTCTTTTATTATCTAGTAGGGTTTTTATTTATTTATTTTATTTTATTTTATTTTATTTTATTTTATATAATTTTGAGGGTATTTGAGTCTATTCACTTGTGTTTTTGGCTATGTTTGAATTTTTTTATAAACAGTGACATTTATGAAATTGAGTTTAAATTTTGGTCATATATGATAAAACTTGCCTTGTGGCCGGCCACCCCCTATAAATATCTCCATCACCTTTGGTAAGCTTTTGATGGCCATACAAACCCCAAACACATTACTGACTTAGGCATCGAAGATCTATTGGCCAACCCCTCTCCTCATGGGTGTGTGAAGCTTTGATCTTTGATCAAATATGTTGATTGTTTTATAATTACATTTTAGTCAAGACTGAAGATGGCAGAAATTTGCTACTACACAATCAAATCTATGAAATGTTATCAGGGCCTCCAGCACATTAAGACTCAATCGACCAAAAAAGAAGAGAAAAGTATGAAATCAAAACAACAATTGAACACTTATTATATGATTATTTGTTGAATATAAATAGCGAAACACGTACGTATATGATATGTGTTCAGTTATCCTTATTCCACTCAATGCATTCAGAAAATGACTCCTCGTCCCATGTCGTCCTGCATGCGCCTTCAGGAAGTATACTCCACTGAACCTTACTGTCAAGATTTTTGTCTCTTTTATCTCTATACACGTCGAACCACTTCAATTGACCCCGCCAAGAAAAACTGCAGAAGTATAGTGTCGTGCCCCAGATGTTAGGTTTAAAACTGAATTCAAAGGAGCCATGAGGGGCGAGCACTTTCACACCAATATCATGGTTTTTGGATTTGCAGTGAACGGTAAGCGACAAATCTCCGTTGGCTTGCAACTCATTTTTAACTCTAATATATCTTCTTTTCCGTGCATCGCACAGGGTTAGTGTGAACAAAAGGAGCACCGTTAATAGCACTGCCTTTCTGATGAACAAAGCCATGCTATTGCTTGTTTTTGGTTGAAGAAAATTTGTTTCGGTGGAAGTTGAAACACTAAGAATGCATCATATATATACTCGGCGGGTTCCATATGCTATCACATTTGGTGGTGCCTGATTTGCAGGATTATGGAATTTTTCAGGAATATGTGGAAAATTATTTACTTTAGAGATTTTATTAAATTTGTGTAAATTATAGTAGATTGGATTTAGCAAAAACATGGAAACTTAAATTATTTTTTAGGGAATGTCATATAAAGCTACAACACATGTATGAATAAAAAAAATTAATGATTAGATACTGTGTAAACAATAAGTATGTGATATGTGATAAGAAAAACTTCTTTCTAATGACAAGTAATAAAATAAAGCATTTCACTAGAATGAATAAATTATACATAACTTAACTGAAATTTTTGTCATGAAAGCAGCACAAGTTTTATTGAAGTAAACTAATACCATAACGAAAGAAATTAAATAATAAAGAATGCATAGGCTCATGGATATTTCCAAATTTTCTGCAAATTGTATGCAAACACTAGATATTTCCTGAAAATATTGAGGAAATTGACTGATTTCCGGAAATATCGTGAATATGGGGTGAAGTCTAAACTTCACCTTCCCTTTCCATATCGTTCCCTGAATTTTTGGATATTTCCATAGAAATATCGGGCATATCCAAGATACTTCAAATACTAGTTAAATTTAGGCCAAAAGTTTTAATTATTCAATACTTACATTTTAATTTCTAAAAATATATAATAACATGTAAAAATAAAATAAAAATTGATAAATGCTGAGGTTCAAATCCCCTTAATCAAATCTTGACAATGGCACAAATGTTTTATTGTTTTTAATGTTATTATTATTGTGATTTCAGTTTTTTTTTTGGTCAAAGTATTGTGATTTAAGTTAAACTAATCATTATTGTTTTGTTTATTATTTTATTTATTTGGTGGTTACACACCCAAATTAAAGTTTTGATTTAATTATATTATTTATTTGGGGTTTTTACTATGATTTACCTTTTGTTTTAAATATTTGACCGTTCAAAGATGAATGAGGTTAATGATGGTTAAGGTAAGTTATGCCTACATAAAAGATAAATGAGGCGCACTGAGGTATAAATTGGAAGGGATAGAGCTATGGAGGTACATGCATTCTCCAATACATTCACTCTACCAATATCTCTTAACCATTATATTAAGATTGGGAGCAAATTGTTTAACACATTTTGTAGTGTTTATTTTATGATATATTTCAATAATCTATCTGCCTATCTTTTAATACTCTGCTAACCCGTCAATCCATATTCGGTGTGGTTAAACATCATTGGGTTAACAAATCGACATAAAATCAGCTCCATCCAATTTTCAGTAGGACTACTTTTTTTTTTCATTTATTTAAACACCATTCCTTATATGAAAGGGAATGAAGAACTCAAATTTAAAAGTTTAGTGGAGATAGAAATGGCTGAACTCATGTAAGAATTATGGTTAAAAAGAGGACTTCTTTTGTATTGTTTGTCATTGGCAATAATTTAATTGGTGGTTTGAGCCATACATGGCCTAGGGCAGGAAATTCTAGTTTATATTCTTTCTTTCCCGGTAATTTGAAGCTTTTTTTTTCTTCGAACAAACGATAGTATATACATTAAGGGGGGTGAGGGAGTGAACTAAGCCTCACACTGAGTTAGCCATAATAATGAAGTTCAAATTCGCCTTTGGTTAGAATCGAATCTAAGATCTCTCACTTACAAGTGAAGAAGAATACTACTAAACTGTAGTACTAAGTGGCAATTTGAAACATTTTTTAGACCAAAACAACAAACACTACAAAAGAAAATGGCATAGAAAAATGACGAAACATGAAATTAACCACTTTACATTCAATTCTTTAAATACAAATTTACATATCACTAATCACATTTTGAGATCCACAAATCAAACAATTTAAAGCATATAAATTATTAAGACGTGCAAGGTTATTACTTATTTATAGGTATATCGACTAAATCACCATAATATCTTATATACGTTGAGAACAAATAAGTAATATATTTGACCATGACCAAATTCATGAGGCTTTGGTCAACGTTTTGAACGTCACTGATGAACCCAACAACAACGTGCCCGAATCAACGGTAAATGTGTCGTATCGAAGGAAAAACTCCACCAACATTAACCTAGACATGAGTACCACTAGATCTTTGCCCGCGCATTGCTTGTTCTCAGCCGTTGGATGATCATCTGCCTGACGACCGTTCGACCAGTAAACATACTTCAACAACTTCTCACCCTCCCCCACAAACCTATTGCCCACAAACTCCTCCGGATTCTCAAAAACCTTTGGATCCTTCCCCACAAAATTCTGATTTCCAAAAATCATCTCCCCTTTCTTGATCTCAAATGTCGCATCGTGGCTATGTACCACGATGTCCTCCTTGGCCTTCCCGTACTGGTACGGAACTGGAGGCTCAATCCTCAAGGCCTCAAAAACCACGGATTTGGTCAAAGTCATCTTATCCAACGTGGAGAGAGTAATCTTACCTTCACTTTCTTTAACAATGGTCCGGATTTCATTTCGGAGCTGGCGGTGCAAATTCCCTCCTCCTGATGCAACCCACTTGATCAAAGCAGGAAACAAAAGCTTCATGCCACCAAATGCATTGAAGCCAGCCAAAAACAAAAGATTGTGACAAGTTTCTTCTCTTGAAATTCCGAAATTACCCTCGGCCAGGTCCAAAGCCGAACCCGCGGACTCGTAAACCGCATCGTAAAGCTTCTGATAAGCGGGCTTGACGAGAAAGGCAGGGTAGGAAAACGTGTGCAGCAAGAAATCTTCAGCAAACATTAGAAACTTGGGTAACCCAAATGTGATCTGAGGGGCAAGTTGGGGAAAGAGCCAAAGTGTGACCAAGCTAGGCCCCTTGGATCCTAACGTTGTCTTTGACGGGCTTTGACCACAAAACAGCTCGAACACGAAATTAAATGACATGTCGTCGCTCAAACTGTTGAAGTCTGCCTTGCCATCTTTGGAGATTTGTTCTTCCAATTTGGGAAAGAGGTCGGAGAGAGAGCTTTGGAAAAGGGGTATGAATTGGTTATGTTTAGAAGCGAGTAGGGATGCGAAGTAGCGCTTGAGAGTGGCGTGGTTCGGCTCGGAGGGGTCTAAATAAGCACACATACGGTAGCCACCGGTGTAGGCAGTAGAGGGCATGTAAGTGCCATCCAAAACGTCGCGTTTTGCGACTTTGGTGGTGTCAAAGAGAATGGGGAAGCTTTCGGCGTCAAGAAGAGCAATGACTTTAGGGTTTTGGGCAATGAGAGCTCCGGGTGGCATATTGGTACGAAAGACTGTGGATTGGTATTTTTCCATTCTGATTTTGAAGAAGTTGTCTCGGCCTTGGTTGTAGAAGTAGTCGTAGCGGTCTTTGATGGCTCCGAACAATGGCATGCCATAATCGCCGGGGATCGGCTTCAATGGAAGGTTACTTGGTGATGAAGAAGAAGAAGAATACATGATTGGTGAGATTTTGATTTGGAGTTTGGAATTGGGTTTTAGAGAAGTGGTGGGATGAGTTGTACAAGGTATTAAAACAATGTGCTTGCTTTTGCCACTTAGTTTCAATTATTTGTATGTAGTAGGTTATAATGTTATCCGAGTTAGGATTTATATATGGAGGGGTCACTGCTAAAATGAAAATTGCAGAAATGGTCTATAAAAGTTGCAACAGAGACTAGAACGTTTTAGACTCAGAGTTTGGTCCGTACAAGCAATTGAAAGTTAAAACGTGAATCAGATGATGAAAACGAACGTGGATGAATTAATGAAATAGAAAGGAAGGTGATGGTATATAGTATTAGTATTTTGTCTCTGCTTATCTAATGTGTTGGTAATATATATATATATATGTATATATTGGGGCAAATATGTGGCACCACATATTTTACACAATTTTTTACACACGTTTTTATAAGGTGCCCACTTTGTAATGTATTCTAGTGATCCGAACCGTCTATCTTTTTAAACATCATTCATCGCTTATCCTTACAAAAAATTAAACAAATTCAAAACTATTAAGACATTCATTTGTAGGGAAGAAAATAGACGAATACGATCCTTAAACCTTAATCCAACGGTCATATGGGTTCAGATTTGGATGATTTTGGTTAGACATGATCTTTGAGAGAAGACATAAAGGTAGATGGTTTGGATCATTAAAATATATTACAGAGTGACACAAAAATGTGTATAAGAAAGTGGTGTCACAAATCCGTTGCAATATATATATATATATATATATATATATATATATATATATATATATATATATATATATATATATATATATATATATATTTTATATTTATATATTATACTAGTATTTTGGGATAAAGACTCTTTTCAGAAAATAAAAGTCTCGCATAAGATTTGGTAAGACCAAAACAATGCAAAATTGGAATTATGCGATTTTGTCCCAGTTCAAGATTGTGAGGACATAACGGAACAGATGAAACATGTTTTGTTAAATTGATTAAAGGAACCTCGTGAGGCAGCGGACACACCAATGGTCTTATTTCTCACGTCACTTTTCTTGTCCAAACCATAAAGAGATTTTTCAGTGTGACCGGCACACGGATGGTACACCACGTGTTATTATACAAATGATGAGATATGTGTGTTAAAAAGTTAATAACTTAAAAAATAAAATTTCTTACCACTTCTATAAAAACACGTTGTGTATCATCCGTGTCTCCGTCATAATAAAAAATTTCTTCAAACCATGGGCGCTGAAAAGTTTCTTCTATTCCATGCATGCATCATGATTCTGAATATTAACATAATAATTTGGTTACACATTTTCAATGAGTTTTGTGCATGATTACATTGGAAGCAATAACACAATAATTGGGTTGCTTGAAAAGTATACTTTTTTTTTTTTTCAAACGATAGTTAAATTAGATATTAAATTAGAGAGTTAATATGGTTCGAATCCACGTTCTAGTACAAAAGCAATACTCATCTCTACACTGTGATAAATGACCACTTGTGTTGCTTGAATGTATACTAAGGACATGTTATATAACTTATTGTTTTTTGTCATGTAAGCTAAAATTGTGCATATGGTTTGAATGTAAATTGTAATTGTAATATGGCACTATGTGCCATTTAGGTTGAAACTAAAAGTTATTGAGGGACCGTTTACAGCTTCTCCTCCTCGTCACTTTCAATCCCCTCATTGGCTAGGTAGCTAGCCCTAGCCATCATTTCATGTCCTAGGTATATAAAACATTTTACTTGTTTCTGCATTTTTGCATGTGTTTTAGTACTGCTCTTTGTTACGTAGGGGAAAGGCATTCCGGATCTATTTTGTGAGGATCCCCATATATGGGAAAGAGATCTTCTCCAAATTCATTTTGTGGGAATCCTAGGGATCCTCACATCATAGTCGTTCATTGTACATTGTACGGTCAGTTTTCATTAGATACTATTTGTGTTTAAATTAATTTTAAATAAGAAAAATCAAATGATTTTTTACCGCACGATATACAATGAATGATTAAGGATCCCCACAAAGTGATGGGATCCAATTCCTTATATAGGGTCAAATACAAAGAGATATATGAAGAGCATTACCATAGCTAGATGCGTGAACAACTTGATCAAGAAATTTCCTCATCTGGATATATGTCCTTGCTGTAATAAATATTTCGTTGAGAATTTTTCTACGTAAATTATATATATTATATATAGGTCAAAGTACAATACAAATTAATTTGAAAAGCGTTGCCAGCGCCATGCGAGAAAGTTTCCTGCCTCTGCTCTACGGTCTACCATCATGCTCGGTTGGACTTGGCTATAATTTAACAGATAAACATTGAACAATTTCTTTGTATTGCTCTCGCTTGGGATTTTCTTCTGGGTTTCTCATACATTACCAGTACATTTTCTTTAATTTGCTTTCGAAATCAGACACTAGAAACAACTATATATAATCTCTAGTTGCTATATATATAGGGTTAGGATCAAGGAACAAAGATTTTGACGAACACTTTAACACTTCCTTATAACCTTTAGATCTTATAACATTCAATGGTCTAGATTAAGAGTGATGTGGAGATTTTAAATATTAAATGACTTGGATGATTATGTGGATTAACCAAGATATAAAATATCGATGATATCGGAAATATCGGTAGTCCAAAAACACGGAAATATCGATGGAAATATTGGATAATATCGATATCGATAAAAATTGAATAAAAACCACGGAAATTGTAAGAAAAACTTGGAAATTTTTATTGAAACTTTGCAGGATGTTTATTTAGTCAATTATCTATTAGTTTATCACAAAAAATTGGAAGGAAATGCATTGCATGATGGATTTAACTGATTTAATTTGATTATATAGCGAGCTGGCAAACATTGTGAGTGTAGAAAATATGTAGTAATTAATGAAAGAAGTTTAAACACACCATAATCATTTATATATAATGAATTAGTACAATTTTATTTAGGATATTAAAAAAAAAAGGAAGTGAATAAAATGATGAAGAATAATGTGCCGAATTTGACACTTTAAATTTCTTACGCATAAGCATGCGTCTAGGCGTTGAAGTTCCAAATTATAGTATATCAATTAACGATTGAAAATCAATATGTTGAATAAGACTAAACTTTAATTTGGATGCCGATTATGTTTTTTCAAGTTTATATAAAGTAAAAGAATTGAATTATGGAAGCCAGGAGTGTGTCAATTGTTTTATAATTCATCCGACTACATATATCAAGTTGCTACTCAACGTAATTTGAAAGTATATCTAGTGCAAGGACTTGTCTTTTTTTGTTGATAAGCAAATGGTTTGTAGCTTTTTTGGCTAAGCAGTAGAACATATTATGTTTGTTTAATCTTTAGCATTTGATCGTTGTCCACAAATAAAGGATAGAAGGCCCCAAATTAGATCTGGCTTTTACCTAGTTGGAGTCACAAGTTCACATGTACCATCCCTCGTGGCAAAATGTTTTGGTTTCTGTAATCGCTAGAATTCCACATCGCCCACGCGAGGGCAATGAGCAAGCAAACAGGCCTATAAAAGCCACATTCCCAAGCTAAGAAAAGAAAGCCTTGCTCGGCCCTTTTGGCTAAGATCAAGTGTAGTTATCTGTTGAGACTTCTCAGCATTTTTCAAGTATTTTTGGGTTTTGATCTCGCGATATTATCGATAATATCGGGATATGTTGCCTAAATAATGCATTAAAATGCTGAAAATATCGTTTTCCGATATTATCGCGATAATATCGACAAAAATGTCGATATATTGACAATAATTAAGTGGATAGGTATGAAAATATTGTCTTTTAAAAAAAACGATATTATTGGCGAAATATCGCCGATAATATCGATATTTAAAACCTTGGGATTAACTAATAAAGAAAATACTAATTTAAATTAAATAGAAATATCTAATACAATAAAATTGAAAGAAAAAAAATCAAAATTTGAATAGATAGGAAAAGAATGTAAAACCCACAGTGAAGAACACCCAAGAAAGGTGAGGAGACAGACAGTGGTGGATCCATGAAATAATATTAGGGGGGTCAGTAAGAATAGTGCGCTAACGCACAATTGTTTTTATACCAGAAATAGCATGCATATCGTCATTTCATCGAGTTTTGGTAGGCCTAAAATCATTTGAAAAGACATATTGCACACCTGTTAATGTATGCAAGGGGCAGCACCTAAGGTATCCATGGACATTCACCGAGTCTTGGTAGGCTTGAAGTCAGTTGGAGGGCATGTATGAAGCCAACTCTAATCTTCAAAAGGGCAACACCCAAGGTATCCATGGACATTCACCGAAGTTCGGGGGGTCAGCTGACCCCCTGCCCCTCAATGCATCTGCCACTGGAGACAGATCGATGTTCTCGCTTCTTCATTACTTGTGATAGTCTGATTCGATTGATACGAAATTTTGACGTACACACTACAACGAATCAAGCTATCAGTCTCTTAAATCTTCTCAGAACAAAACCCTAAATTCTAAATCTTCAATCTTGACTCCTGGATGTCATTTTTTTTAGGGAACTTTAACGAAAAGCTCCTTGTACTATTCACTTTAATGAAAAACCACATTTTTACACTAAAAAGTCAATCCTGGTACTATTCACTTTACCCTTTATTTTGTCCTTATCATTAAAACTTAAAGTTTTCAAACCCTTTTCATTAATTTTTTTTTTTTTTAATACGGTGCAAAATGAATGGCTGATGAGTTTATGGCTACATAAATCTCAAACATGCTTGGCTCATTCGGGTTTTGATATGGAGGTGGCAAAGTGATTGAGTTGCTAGGTTACGACTAGGGTGCTTAAACTCAAAACAAAACCCTAAATTATTCTCAAAGCAAAACTCTTTCTGCCTGGTATCATGTTTTTTCTGTAATTACGATTCTTTGTTTGAAGGAAAGAAAGACTTTTCATCTAGAAGTTGCAAACCTTCGGCAAAGATGGTGTGAGATCAACAGATGGAAATGGAAATTTCATTTTTTTACACTAAATATTTCAAAGTTTGATTATTTCTTTTTCAATTTTATTATTATTTGATATTTTTTTAATTTAAATTAATGTTTTCCTTATTAGTTACTAGCATTTGTCTACA